ACATTTTTAAATCAATATGACAATACTATACTTAAAAGTTGTAATAAGTTTAGTTTTGTTTGACTCTTTGAAGTCAGAACATGATTTGACCTGTTAAAGTCAGTTTACAGAACAAAATTTCCAATCAAAGCTAGGTGTACTTCCTTTAAGCCCTGCTTCTGAATCTGCCATTTTCGAGTTTATTATTTGATAAGTTTTTAGAAACAATTAAGTCAAATGGTTATTTATTTTAGGGGATCTTACATATATTTCCTGTGTCTTTTATCTGACGTTCCCATACATTCATTAAATAACATATGGCAATGCCCAGCTTATATATTTCAATAAATTTATTTTAGTTTTGGACTGACTCTTTTAAGTCAGAACATGATTTGACCTGTTTAAAACAAAATACATTTAATATTGAATATACCAAGTATACTTTTTTATAGTCCTCATTATTGTGACTTATGGCTACCTTATTTCCTCTGTCTTTTATCTGGCTCACCTATATATTTTTAAATCAATATGACAATACTAGACTTAAAAGTTTTAATAAGTTAAGTTTTGTTTGACTCTTTGAAGTCAGAACATGATTTGACCTGTTAAAGTCAGTTTACAGAACAAAATTTCCAATCAAAACTGGTCTTTTCCTCTAAGCCCCCCCCCCCTAATCTGAATCTGCTACTGTTGAGTTAATTAATTGATAAGTTTGTTTAGAAACAATTCAGTCAAATGGTTTTAAAATAATATTTTTTATAACCAAAAGTTCCATATGTTAAATTAACAGAAAAAAAAGTCATAAAAATGCAGAAATAGAATAAAATTTTAAGATAATTTGATGAAATTTGTAAACAAAATACATTTGAATATTAAATATACCAAATAAACTTTTTTATAGTCCTCATTATTGTGACTTTATTATTGGGTGTCTTTTATCTGATTTTCCCATACATTCTTAAATGCATATGACAATTCCAGACTTAAAAGTTGCAATAATTAGTAAAAGTATAGTTTTTGACTGACTCTTTGAAGTCAGAACATAATGTGACTTGTTCAAGTCAGTTTGCACAACAGGATTTACCTCAATGAAATATTAAGATATCAAATATATACCAAATTAACTTTTATATAGTTCTAAAAATTGTGACTTAATATTTGTGATCTTTTTTCCTACTTGTATCCATACATTCTAACAATCACATCACAATCATGACAATGCCCGACTGTTACAGTTGCAATCCATTTAGTGTTTGACAGACTCTTATAAGTCAGAACATGATTTGACCTGCTTGAGTCAGTTTACAGAACACAATTTCCAATCAAAGCTATGTGTTCTTCCTCTTAGTCCCCTTCTGAATCTGCCACTGTTGAGTTTATTAATTGATAAGTTTTAAGAAACAATTAAGTCAAATGGTTATTTATCTTAGAGGATCTTGCATGTATTTCGTGTGTATTTTATCTGACTTTTCCATACATATCATTAATATCATATGGCAATGCCGGACTTAAAAATTTCAATAAATTTAGTTTTTGACTGATATTTTTAAGTCAGAACATGATTTGACAACATGTTTAAAACAAAATACATTTAATATTGAATATATTGAATATACCAAATAAACTTTTTTATTGTCCTCATTATTGTGACTTATGGGGTCTTTATTCTCTCCGTCTCTTATCTGGCTCACCCATACATTTTTAAATCAATATGACAATACTATACTTAAAAGTTGTAATAAGTTTAGTTTTGTTTGACTCTTTGAAGTCAGAACATGATTTGACCTGTTAAAGTCAGTTTACAGAACAAAATTTCCAATCAAAGCTAGGTGTACTTCCTTTAAGCCCTGCTTCTGAATCTGCCATTTTCGAGTTTATTATTTGATAAGTTTTTAGAAACAATTAAGTCAAATGGTTATTTATTTTAGGGGATCTTACATATATTTCCTGTGTCTTTTATCTGACGTTCCCATACATTCATTAAATAACATATGGCAATGCCCAGCTTATATATTTCAATAAATTTATTTTAGTTTTGGACTGACTCTTTTAAGTCAGAACATGATTTGACCTGTTTAAAACAAAATACATTTAATATTGAATATACCAAGTAAACTTTTTTATAGTCCTCATTATTGTGACTTATGGCTACCTTATTTCCTCTGTCTTTTATCTGGCTCACCTATATATTTTTAAATCAATATGACAATACTAGACTTAAAAGTTGTAATAAGTTAAGTTTTGTTTGACTCTTTGAAGTCAGAACATGATTTGACCTGTTAAAGTCAGTTTACAGAACAAAATCTCCAATCAAAGCTAGGTGTACTTCCTTTAAGCCCTGCTTCTGAATCTGCCATTTTCGAGTTTATTATTTGATAAGTTTTTAGAAACAATTAAGTCAAATGGTTATTTATTTTAGGGGATCTTACATATATTTCCTGTGTCTTTTATCTGACGTTCCCATACATTCATTAAATAACATATGGCAATGCCCAGCTTATATATTTCAATAAATTTATTTTAGTTTTGGACTGACTCTTTTAAGTCAGAACATGATTTGACCTGTTTAAAACAAAATACATTTAATATTGAATATACCAAGTATACTTTTTTATAGTCCTCATTATTGTGACTTATGGCTACCTTATTTCCTCTGTCTTTTATCTGGCTCACCTATATATTTTTAAATCAATATGACAATACTAGACTTAAAAGTTTTAATAAGTTAAGTTTTGTTTGACTCTTTGAAGTCAGAACATGATTTGACCTGTTAAAGTCAGTTTACAGAACAAAATTTCCAATCAAAGCTAGGTGTACTTCCTTTAAGCCCTGCTTCTGAATCTGCCATTTTCGAGTTTATTATTTGATAAGTTTTTAGAAACAATTAAGTCAAATGGTTATTTATTTTAGGGGATCCTACATATATTTCCTGTGTCTTTTACCTGACGTTCCCATACATTCATTAAATAACATATGGCAATGCCCAGCTTATATATTTCAATAAATTTATTTTAGTTTTGGACTGACTCTTTTAAGTCAGAACATGATTTGACCTGTTTAAAACAAAATACATTTAATATTGAATATACCAAGTATACTTTTTTATAGTCCTCATTATTGTGACTTATGGCTACCTTATTTCTTCTGTCTTTTATCTGGCTCACCTATATATTTTTAAATCAATATGACAATACTAGACTTAAAAGTTGTAATAAGTTAAGTTTTGTTTGACTCTTTGAAGTCAGAACATGATTTGACCTGTTAAAGTCAGTTTACAGAACAAAATTTCCAATCAAAGCTAGGTGTACTTCCTTTAAGCCCTGCTTCTGAATCTGCCATTTTCGAGTTTATTATTTGATAAGTTTTTAGAAACAATTAACTCAAATGGTTATTTATTTTAGGGGATCTTACATATATTTCCTGTGTCTTTTATCTGACGTTCCCATACATTCATTAAATAACATATGGCAATGCCCAGCTTATATATTTCAATAAATTTATTTTAGTTTTGGACTGACTCTTTTAAGTCAGAACATGATTTGACCTGTTTAAAACAAAATACATTTAATATTGAATATACCAAGTATACTTTTTTATAGTCCTCATTATTGTGACTTATGGCTACCTTATTTCCTCTGTCTTTTATCTGGCTCACCTATATATTTTTAAATCAATATGACAATACTAGACTTAAAAGTTTTAATAAGTTAAGTTTTGTTTGACTCTTTGAAGTCAGAACATGATTTGACCTGTTAAAGTCAGTTTACAGAACAAAATTTCCAATCAAAACTGGTCTTTTCCTCTAAGCCCCTCCCCCCCCTAATCTGAATCTGCTACTGTTGAGTTAATTAATTGATAAGTTTGTTAAGAAACAATTCAGTCAAATGGTTTTAAAATAATATTTTTTATAACCAAAAGTTCCATATGTTAAATTAACAGAAAAAAAAGTCATAAAAATGCAGAAATAGAATAAAATTTTAAGATAATTTGATGAAATTTGTAAACAAAATACATTTGAATATTAAATATACCAAATAAACTTTTTTATAGTCCTCATTATTGTGACTTTATTATTGGGTGTCTTTTATCTGATTTTCCCATACATTCTTAAATGCATATGACAATTCCAGACTTAAAAGTTGCAATAATTAGTAAAAGTATAGTTTTTGACTGACTCTTTGAAGTCAGAACATAATGTGACTTGTTCAAGTCAGTTTGCACAACAGGATTTACCTCAATGAAATATTAAGATATCAAATATATACCAAATTAACTTTTATATAGTTCTAAAAATTGTGACTTAATATTTGTGATCTTTTTTCCTACTTGTATCCATACATTCTAACAATCACATCACAATCATGACAATGCCCGACTGTTACAGTTGCAATCCATTTAGTGTTTGACAGACTCTTATAAGTCAGAACATGATTTGACCTGCTTGAGTCAGTTTACAGAACACAATTTCCAATCAAAGCTATGTGTTCTTCCTCTTAGTCCCCTTCTGAATCTGCCACTGTTGAGTTTATTAATTGATAAGTTTTAAGAAACAATTAAGTCAAATGGTTATTTATCTTAGAGGATCTTGCATGTATTTCGTGTGTATTTTATCTGACTTTTCCATACATATCATTAATATCATATGGCAATGCCGGACTTAAAAATTTCAATAAATTTAGTTTTTGACTGATATTTTTAAGTCAGAACATGATTTGACCTGTTTAAGTCAATTTGTCAGAACATAATTTGACCTGTTCAAGTCAGTTTGCAGAACAAAATTTCCAATTAAAGCTAGGTGTACTTCCTTTAAGCCCTGCTTCTGAAATTGCCATTTTTGAGTTTATTATTTGATAAACTTTTAGAAACAATTAAGTCAAATGGTTATTTATTTTAGGGGATCTTACAAATATTTCCTATGTCTTTTATCTGACGTTATCATACATTCATTAATATCATATGGAAGTGTCCAACTTTAAAATTTCAATAAACTCAGTTTTGGACTGACTGTTTAATGTCAGAACATGATTTGACCTGTTTAAAACAAAATACATTTAATATTGAATATACCAAATAAACTTTTTTATAGTCCTCATTATTGTGACTTTAGGGGACCTTATTTCCTCTGTCTTTTATCTGGCTTTCCCATACATTTTTAAATCAATACGACAATACTAGACTTAAAAGTTGTATTAATAAGTTTAGTTTTGACTGACTCTTTGAAAGCAGAACATGATTTGACCTGTTAAAGTCAGTTTACAGAACATTCAAATCAAAAATTCCAATCAAACCTAGGTGTTCTTCCTCTAAGCCCCCCCCCCCCTAAATATGAATCTGCTACTGTTGAGTTTTTTTAGAAACAATTCAGCCAAATGGTTATTAAAATTTTTTTTTTTTGGCAACCACAAGTTCTATGTGTAAACTTAACAGAAAAGAAAAGTCATGAAAATACAGAAATAAAATAAAATTTTAAGATAATTTGATGAAAATCTTTAAAAACAAAATGCATTTGATATTGAATATACCAAATAAACTTTTTTAAGGTCCTCATTATTGTGACGTAAGGGGACCTTATTTCATCTGGCTTTTATCTGGCTTTCCCATACATTTTAAAATCAATATGAAAATCCTAGACTTAAAAGTTGAAATAAGTTTAGTTTTGTTTGACTCTTTGAAGTCAGAACATGATTTGACCTGTTAAAGTCAGTTTACAGAACAAAATTTCCAATCAAAACTAGGTCTTCTTCCTCTAAGCCCCCCCCCCCCCCCCCCCCCCCCCCCCCCTCCCCCCCTTTTTCCCTTTATCTGAATCTGCTACTGTTTAGTTAATTAATCATGTTAATTGATAAGTTTTTTTAGAAACAATTCAGTCAAATGGTCTTTAAAATAATATTTTTTACAACCAAAAGTTCCATGTGTTAACTTAACAGAAAAGAAAAAGTCATGAAAATACAGAAATAGAATAAAATTTTAAGATAATTTGATGAAACTTGTAAACAAAATACATTTGAATATTACATATACCAAACAAACTTTTTTATAGTCCTCATTATTGTGACTTTATTATTGGGTGTCTTTTATCTGTTTTTCCCATACATTCTTAAATGCATATGACAATGCCAGACTTAGAAGTTGCAATAATTAGTTAAAGTATAGTTTTTGACTGACTCTTTGAAGTCAGAACATAATTTGACCTGTTTAAAACAAAATACATTTAAATATTGAATATACCAAATAAACTTTTTTATATAATCCTCATTATTGTGACTTTAGGGGACCTTATTTCCTCTGTTTTTTATCTGGCTCTCCCATACATTTTTAAATCAATATGACAATTCTAGACTTAAAAGTTGTAATAAATTTAGTTTTGACTGACTCTTTGGGGTCAGAACATGATTTGACCTGTTAAAGTCAGTTTACAGAACAAAATTTCCAATCAAAGCTAGGTGTACTTCCTTTAATCCAAGAAAGTCCTTGCTTTCAGACTGCTTCTGAATCTGCCATTTTCGAGTTTATTATTTGATAAATTTTTAGAAACAATTAAGTCAAATGGTTATTTATTTTAGGGGATCTTAACATATATTTCCTGTGTCTTTTATCTGACGTTCACATACATTCATTTAATATCATATGGCAATGCCCGGCTTAAATATTTCAATAAATTTATTTTAGTTTTGGACTGACTCTTTTAAGTCAAAACATGATTTGACCTGTTTAAAACAAAATACATTTAATATTGAATATACCAAATAAACTTTTTTATAGTCCTCATTATTGTGACTTATGGGGACCTAATTTCCTCAGTCTTTTATCTGGCTTACCTATACATTTTTAAATCAATATGACAATACTAGACTTAAAAGTTGTAATACGTTAGTAAGTCAGAACATAATGTGACTTGTTTGAGTCAGTTTGCACAACAGTATTTACCTCAATGAAATATTAAAATAATAAATGTTTTGCTCTTAATACATTTAGCTTAAAGTGGATGAGAATATATCTTTTATTAACATAGTCTTATCATGAATAAGTGTCTTGTTTTTCCTTGGAAGATTTGAAGTATTGTCATGTAATGTTTCCAATATTGTATTTTGTAAATCTTTTGATATTCAGAAAATTGTATGATCCATTTTTTCTCACCTGGTTTTTCTTTGTATTTTGAAATAATTGAAAGTGATGAGATAAATATATTATGTTTAGATTCTGGAAAGGAGAAGGTATGATGTCAGATGAGCCCCACTTTTTAAAACTCTTTAATTCGAAACTAGTAATCACCATATTTTTATGGAGATTGATAACAAAGTGGTAGTAATGACTGCTTCAAATCAGAACAAAAATGACCTCTCGAAGTCAAAATGCATTAAAAAGGGGCATAAATCTTATTAGAATATGAAGATATTAAGTCACAATATTTTGTGCAAAATCTGACCTGTGGAAGTCATTTTATGATAAATTAAAGTCTGACATAAACTGACCTGTACAAGTCATATTCTGTTGAGTGCAAGAAGGGAGACAACACTTACATCAAATTATATCTGACCTATGGAAGTCATTTTATTCTGACTTGTTTATGTCAGAGCTCTGACTGAACATGCAGGACTCAGGGGCAAAAAAGGGGCCAAAAACAAGTTTTGTTTTCTAGTTTCCAGACAATAATTTGTGTTTAAGTGTATGGATCTCTCTAAAATTTGCCTACATGGTTCCATTCTACAAAGGGAAGGCTGGGTTTGAGTTTGGGGGTAATTGCTCCAGGGGGGGGGGGGGTTCAAACTTTTTTTAATTTCAAATTTTTTTGTAAAGTTTTAAAAAGAAATCTTTAAATGCACAGTATTGCGCAATTGATTTTTAAGATCTTTGACAACATTTGTTTCTTGTCAGAAACCTATATTATGTCAAAAATTTGATCAGAATCCAAATTCAGACAGTAGCAAGCTTGAATATTGTGTCCAAATTTGCCCCAACTGTTCATGGTTCTCCCTCTGCGGTCGTATCAGGCTGCGCTCAGCGAAGCATTTCATTAGTTTCTTTGTTGATTTCAAAGGTATAGGGAAATCATGAATTTTAAATATCAAACAAAGTAAATATATCTTGTAGTCTAGTGTGTTTTAGTTGCATTGCATATCATATCTGTTATCCCTTGTAAAAGAAACTTTTCTTACGTTAGACTATATTTTTTTTCACAAAATAAAACAAATTATTTTTTCATATTACAACAGGGACAGCATTTTTTTTTACCACCACCACCCACAGAAATAAAAATTAATTAGAACAACACTCCCTTTGCATTTTGGTATTTCAAATACAACCACCCACATAAAATTTTAAAAAAAATACCTTCACTGGGGGGACATAATATTTTCTGGAACAGCCCTTATATGTTTTTTGGGGGACATAGTATTTTCTGGAACAGCCCTTATATGTTTTAGTATAAAAAAAATAGATTTCAAATTTTATCTATTTCAAGTTGATAAACACAAAAAAACCTGTGATAAATTATCTATATTACTCCAACCCAGCTAGATATCAGATGTGGTATTAAGTTTGCCAATGAGACAACTCTCCACCAGAGACCTAATGATGTAGATGTTAATGATAAACCACACATTGAAATGCCTACCTGCTCATTCTGGATATGACATCAAATTTTTCATTATCGAAACAAAATACATTTTACTATCTGTAGCTGGTAACATTATTTTTATACTCTTCATAGATTAGTTTTTGCAAATTAAACTATCTCTTGCAGATGGATTCTATAATCAGAGGGGAGATGTGAAAAAAATCTTTATTAAAGTAGGTTGATAATTCAAATTGAAAAATTCAATTTTAGCACTAACAGGTGGTTTTGCATTTCATTTATTAAAAGTATTATAATTAATAATAGCCATGAAACAATGATTTTATTTTCAGGTCATTTTGGAAGAAAATTGATAGAGGAAAGATACAGATATACAAGAATTTCATATTTGAAATGCACTTAATATTTCTTTTGTATATGATCACCAAATTTTGGCAGTCAAATAAGGCCAATTAAAATTAATTGATAGATTTTCATCCCCGCCTGCCCCTCTGAAAATGTCCCGCTGCGATTTTTTTTATTTTTAAAAATATACGATTTTTCCGGATTTTGTTCATTTACGTTACCGGTAACCGCCGATAATTTCGATTCATTTAAACTTCCTTTTTCAAATTTCGGTTTTCGTATTTCTTCGAGTAATATAAGTCGACATATTCTTCTGCTCAATGATGACAACATTATCTTTTGAGAATATAGATTGATTACTAGAAGGACATAAATTATTTGGCTTACGAGTAATTGGCGTTGTCCAAGAACGGTAATCACGGTTTGTCACAAATTTCAGTGAATATAAAACCGTCGATTATTTTATTTATACAATGACATTGTGTAAGGAAATTTAGACTGTGAATGATATCCAAAGCGCAAAAATCGTGGAACACATTGATACAAAATCATGACTGGAATAAAGAAATTAACACAAGCACGAACTTGTGCGATTTATGACCGTATATTGAGTACAAAGAGTCGGCCAACGTACAAAATGTATTATAGCTGCCATGGCTTAGATTTACCTCCAAAGCTGTCATTTCAGCCCTTCAATAGAGTTATTAAATAACTTTTTTTTTTTGGTTCAGTTCATGTTTTACATTGTAATTATATTTGCACCTTGCATAAGAATCTTAAAAGCATGAACCCTAGTATTTTCAACACAGTTTGAGTTTTCATTTCACTCTGTACTCATAATATTTGTGTTGCATACCAATGCATATGCTTCATTTTATGGGCACTATAAATCATAACTTAGAAAGCAAAAAATGATCTATGTAGTCTAAAAGAGAACATTTTTCCACGTTTTTGCTATTTACTAAAAATCGGTTTCTAAAGCGGCAATTACATGTAGAACAATGGTTGCCAATCGGAAATATTGATTTAAGAATTAAAACAAAAATGTAGAATTCCTTATATAAACATGATATAAGCTTATTATTACCCTTGTACATTGTGTATATGAACAACACGTCTCAAAATGGTTAAGGAGGAAATAAAAATTAAAAAAATAAATCCTCCCACCCGCCCCATTTTTTTCAAAAATCTGGATGAAAATCTTCTTATTAATTTTAGTTGCCCTAATGGTATCATTGTTATCTTTGCCATATAAACAAATATACCTGGTAAAATTTGTTCATTAGAGGAAACTTTAATTACAAATATCTATTCACATTAAATTTAGATGATTTTTTTACCAATTTTTTAATTTTAAAAATAAATCAATTGTTTTTATTCTGTGGGATTCAAAATGTTTTGCCATTTATGATAATCTATTTATTTTGAATAGTCTGAAATACATTTCATGAAAATTTCAAATTCAAAATAAGGCCTCTACAGTGCATACTCCATCACAAATTGAGGTAATGTTAGTATTGATTCTGAGGTAAAGGAGTAGGGGCATTAAGGCCCAGTTTTGGCACAAGAAAATAAAATGTTTGACAACTTTTTCAAATTGGCACATAATGTTTGGAAATGCATTGAGTGAAGAAATATAAATGAAAAACATAAGATTGTTTATATGATGACGTCACAGTTACGTCATAATATGTACCGTTTTCATGAAAAAGATGAAAAATGCAGAATTTTCGCAATTTTTCATCGTTATTTCCATTACGGAAACATCGTGCGCAGCCAAGAAACAACAAAATAATTTAAGAGAAGCTTTATTATAACTATTGAAATAATCTCACCAAATATAAAGTTGTTTCTTGGGTGCGCACATACTTTGCCAATCTTAAATATACTTAGAATTTGATGAAAAACAAGGAAATTCAAGAAATTTTATAAAATATACAAATTTCGTCATGGTTTGTTGCCATGGTAGCTCGTTTAATGTGAAATTTGTTTTTATTTTCTGAAAACCTTGTACCTTAGTCTAGTTAGGACAAATTTAAGGATATGTATGATAACTTTTAAATTTGCAGTAATATTTGGGCCAAATAAGGGGCTTATTGCCCCTGCTCCTTTGTTGCATTTATTATTTTAATGCGGTCAACATATTGCTAGGTCATCATATTAGTGTGTCCAGCATATCGTGGATTCATGAACAGTAATGAGTGCAAATTAGCATAAATATGTGGTCAATTTATGCTGAGACTACATAATTTTTTATTTTGGTTATTATTATTATTATCCACAGTTGTTGTGCATCATAAATTTTTAGAAATGTCTTCTTATAACAACATTTTAACAAAAACTGATATATAGATGTATTAAGATAAATTTAGTAACTTGTATTAGGACGTCAGCAAAAATTGATAAATAATATAGGCCTATTATGTATTCCATGGGACAGATTTTGTTTTAGTCCATTTTTGTATAAATGTTGCACCTTTATTTTATCTTTTTCTAGATTTTATATGTGGCTCCACTCCTCACCCATTGACATGCTGGTTAAAAAGTAAAGAACACTATATATATATGAATATTTCAGCAAATTATGGTGGCAAATCTGTTAATTTTTTTAGAATAGTCATAAATTTTGCCAAATTATGCAAAAAATATTGTTTTAACAAAAACCCACATACATTTTAGTGGAAAAGCCCTCACAAACTTTCATTGCTTATTAGCATAGATGCAACAAGAACATTAACTAGTTGATTTATAAATTGTAATGTTTGTGACTCATGTTGACTGAAATGACATTGTATGAAATAAAGTTTGTGCCAAAAAATATTATTACTAGTTTGAACCCAGTATTATATGCAAGTTATTAGTACCTTACTGATGAAGTCAAAGGGAACTATAGGTTTGCACGCCGTTTGTCGGACTATCAGATCAAGTTAACAGTTTTCCACACTTTTTCGTCAGGCTTGAAGATATTTATTTGATATCTCTTGTATAGTTCTGATTGAATGCATTTGTTTTATTTTGTCTCCCCTGTGATGAAACACTATATTTTGGTGTATCGAATGATTGTAAGGTGTACAAGTCAGTCTGACAGCTACATGAACTGTACCATATTTTTATGGTTCATTGGTTAATGTTAAATTCTCACAGTTTGGTCTGTTTCTTAGATACTGTAAGCAGTAAGTCAACAGTATATGATGTATGGAATGATTGCAATCTGTACATTATATATGGTCTGATATTGAACTCATTTGTATGGTTCATTGGTCAATGATCAATTTTCATACTTGCCGGTACTTTGATTTCTCAGATGTTATCAACTATCAGATTTAGTGTGTGGTACGATTGTTTGGTGTATATGACCTTGATCCAACAGAGATTGTGGATTTAAGCAATTAAAGATTATCTGGCTTTCAACAAGGAACAATCGAATAACTCCGTCTCATAGGTGTATAAACAATGTATGAGGGCTTTTAACTAACTCCGACTCATTTAGGTGCATGAAGGTTGTATAGAGTTTACTTATCGAAAAACTGTTTCATTGATATGTGAACGTTATATAGGTTCTATGCTTATCTGATAGCTCGAATAGCTCTGTTTCATTGGTGTATGAACGTTGTATAGGGTTTATACACCTCAAATAAATTTGTCTCATTGGTGTATAAACGTTGTATAGGGTTTATACCCATCGAATAACTCTGTCTCATTGGTGTATGAACGTTGTATATGGTATATACCCATTATATAACTGTGTCTCATTGGTATATGAACGTTGTATAGGGTATATACCCATCGAATAACTTTGTCTCATTGGTATATGAACGTTATATAGGGTTTATACCCATCGAATAACTCTGTCTCATTGATGTATGAACGTTGTATAGGGTATATACCCATCAAATATCGCTGTCTCATTGGTGTATGAACGTTGTATAGGGTATATACCCATTACATAATTGTCTCATTGTTGTATGAACGTTATATAGGGTTTATACCCATCGAATAACTCTGTCTCATTGGTGTATGAACGTTGTTTAGGGTTTATAACCATCGAATAACTCTGTCTCATTGTTGTATGAACGTTATATAGGGTTTATACCCATCGAATAACTCTGTCTCATTGGTGTATGAACGAATATAGGGTTTATACCCATTGAATAACTCTGTCTCATTGGTGATTAACGTTGTATAGGGTATATACCCATTATATAACTGTGTCTCATTGGTATATGAACGTTGTATAGGGTTTATACCAACTGATTAACTGTGTATCATTGGTGTATGATCGTTGTATAGGGTTTATTCCCATGGAATAGCTCTGTCTCATTGGTGTATAAACGTTGTATAGGGTTTATACCCATCAGATATCTCTGTCTCATTGGTGTATGAACGTTGTATAGGGTATATACCCATTATATAACTGTGTCTCATTGGTGTATGACTGTTGCATAGGGTTTATACCCGTTGAATAACTGTGAATCATTGGTGTATGAACGTTGTATAGGGTTTATACCCATCGAATAACTCTGTCTCATTTGTGTATGAACGTTGTATAGGGTATATACCCATCAAATATTGCTGTCTCATTGGTGTATAAACGTTGTATAGGGTCTATATCCATCAAATAACTGTCTCATTGGTGTATGAACGTTGTATAGGGTCTATATCCATCAAATAACTGTCTCATTGGTGTATGAACGTTGTATAGGGTCTATATCCATCAAATAACTCTGTCTCATTGTTGTATGAACGTTGTATATATAGGGTAATATACCCATTACATAATTGTCTCATTGGTATATGCACGTTGTAGAAGGTTTATACCAACTGAATAACTGTATCATTGGTGTATGACCGTAAGGTTGTATATTGTTTATACCCATCGGAAAAACTTTGTCTCATTGGTGTATAAACGTTGTATAGGGTTTATACCCATCGAATAACTCTGTCTCATTGGTGTATGAACGTTGTATATGGTATATACCCATTATATAACTGTGTCTCATTGGTATATGAACGTTGTATAGGGTTTATAACCATCGAATAACTTTGTCTCATTGGTATATGAACGTTATATAGGGTTTATACCAATCTAATAACTCTGTCTCATTGATGTATGAACGTTGTATAGGGTATATACCCATCAAATATCGCTGTCTCA